GTGGTTAGTCGCACTTTAAGCATTAAAATGCTTTCCCTGCAAAAAGTGTAAACGGGCCTTTCTATACCTTCGTTCAGGTGATAGCATGTGATCAACAGTTTGACTGCAATTACGACAGTCGTTGTGATGTTTGGTCGTTGGGCATCACTGCTATTGAACTGGCAGACGGTACACCACCCTTTGCTGATGAACATCCAATGAGAGCTCTGTTTAAAATACCAAGGTAAGAAATGATTATTTTAGTGAGGAAATGTAGTAACCATACAGTCACACTGCCCTATAAGGGGCTTTCGCTAGCACTGCTGTGCGTGTCGTATTTAATTATCTAAATCATCTTTTCAACAGGAGCCCTCCACCAACGGTGAAAAATCCTGCAAAATGGTCTGCAATTTTCAACGATTTTATTTCAAAGTATGCAGCACCTTATTTCAATGATATAAAATAGCTCCGCTTTAATGTATATCCTACTATAACAAAACTTCAATAAATCTATATTTCCCAAGGTGTGTCGTAAAAGATCTTGAACGTCGTCCAACTGTTCATGAGTTGTTACAGCATAAGTTTGTGAAATGGATCCCACAGAAAAAACGAGAGGTAGCCTATCAGACACAAATTCTTTGCACAAATTTGTCCCTAGAATACATCGGACAAGGTGTTACTAGCATTTTTCCATATAGGTACAACAAACTTTAAAGAATCTCATGGTAACTCACTACGGAACCCAGGATGGAGTGGATTGTGATAACAGTTGGTATCGAAGGTAAATGTCCGTATATGCATGGTTATAATTATTGATTTGGTCAACAGTTACTTTGTGTAGTTTTGTTAAATTTATTCATGTTTATTGCTGCAGTCCAATAGGAGCACATCGAAATCAATGGCGTGATCGCAAGATGCTTGGAGTGGATGATTTGGCTTCTCTTGAGAATTTGACAGAGGTATTTTGTTGAAGTGACAACCAACCTCACTATCACTATAATAATAACACCACACCATCATCACCATGAACCATCATTGCCACCACCATAATCATCATTATCATCACCATCGTCATCATCATCATCATCATGTTTACCAACTGTCATCATCATTCCCACCACCAACACCACCAAGCCAACAAATTCACAAACACTGCCGCCTATATGACAATTCCTCTTTGTCCATTTTCTAGGAAACAATTCTAACCCACGTTATGGAAAGATACCTAGGAGATCAGATCTACACCTACATTGGAGATATTCTTATTGCTGTCAATCCTTTTAAAACGTTACCCATCTACGACAAACAGGTACTAACATAATTATATGTTACATTGGATGTATACTTATGGATCTTTACTTACATTGGATACAGGGACGCCGGAACGATAAAAAGGCAAGGGGGGCAAACGCACACGAAAGGGCACCTCTACAGACTCCAGTGAAGATATAAACCTACAATTGTGTGTTGACGTGCCAAACTATGAAAGCAAACGCACTTATAATCAGGTCACATTCAAGATCATACCTCATGATTTTGCCCAAAAAGCATCACAGGAAATGTGATTTATCAGGTAGTATTCAATAACTCATAGGGCACTTCTGCCCCCTTGCCCCTCCTAGCAAAAGGCAAGAGGGGCAGCTGCCCCTCCTGCCCCCCCAGTTCCGGCGTCCCTGATTGGATAGCTCTACCAGTTCTAAACTGTTCTCTCTAAATCAATAAATAAACTCTCTAATCCAGTATATTCCTCAAGCTACAACGTTTCTTTCAGAATGTACTCAAATATCAGAATATTGAAAAGCAATCCGCACCACCTCACATCTTCGCCATTGCTGCAACAGCTTACAGATGCATGCTTATCAACCAACATCAACAGGTAGGGAGCTACTGAGTCCAGGAAGTATTAAGTTTGAACTGACAAAAGAGAAAGTTTGGATGAAAGTTTAAAGCAAACATTATTGCGATGCTCTATGCTCTATTCCTTTCAATTTTATTTTGCGCAAATCTTAAAGCTGCATGCAGTAAGACGTAAAGGAGACAAGTAAACCCGACAAGTTTAGAAATGGAAAGTTCAATAAGGAAAGCTTTGCTAGCCAAGGAAAATCCATTATTCATAATGTGAAGCAAAGTTAAACCGAAATTATCCCACTGCGCAGGCATTTATTGCATTCCAAAATATCATCGAAGATATCAGGCATCTATAGCTAACAACAAAAGTACGAAGAGCTCATAGTATATCCTTATTCCTTTTCATTGTTTCAGTGTTGTTTGATAAGCGGCGAAAGTGGGGCAGGAAAAACTGTCTCCTCAAATTTCTTGGTTCAACAATTGGCTGAACTTGGAAAGGTGAGAAAGAGCAAGAATACCATATTTCAATAATGAATAACACTTGAAGGGAGTTCATGATTTTCCCTTTAATTATCAACTCGTCCTATAACAATTGCTAAAGGAGGAACTCGAATACACGGACAGCACCCACGATCCCAGATCGAGATGAAAGGCGGCTACTCTGGCGACTGCGCCGCTGAAGCCCAGCAATGATTAATTTAATCTTCTTATATTTTGGTATAGAGCGGAAACAGAATGTTGGAAAACAGAATTCTGCAGGTAAACTGTTTTAACCTTTTAGGACAATCAAAATTCACAAAGAAATGCATCTCAGATTTTTAGTCTCGACAAGCAAGCGTACATGATTCATTATTGTCTTTAGGTGAATCCTCTGATGGAAGCCCTGGGCAACGCTCAGACGGGAATCAATGACAACTCCAGTAGATTTGGAAAATATCTTGAACTTCAGTTCACATCAAATGGAAACATCATTGGAGGTACGGTTAAAAGCGTGCTGCATTCTTCACATACTCCCATTATAATAGTCTTACATAAACGGATAGTCATCATTATGTATAAGTGCAGTGAACAATTTCTGTACCACCACAGCTGTCGCAAATACCACCAATATACTGCACCACCATAAAAATCACCACCTCTATCATATCATTACTGCCACCAATAATTGCTTTATGTTTTTAGCGCGTTTGACAGAATATTTGCTGGAAAAATCGAGAGTGGTTTCTCAGTCAGAGTAAGTCGAAATTGAAGCTTATATACTGTATATTTCCAAACTACATGGGCCAGAGACAGCATCGTTTTGAATTCGGGAAAGGCTGCACCTACGAAAATGAAGATCAATATACTACTAAACACAAACCTCCTTGTTATATAGAGAAGAACGGAATTTCCATATTTTTTATTACTTTCTCGCTGGACTTTGGAGGGATGGAAAACTAGCTGATTACTCTCTGAAAGTCAAAGGAAAATATAAGTAAGGCTATATACGATCTAGTAGGCGTAGGATTTTAAAGGAAGTGACATAAACATCCTCTCGATACAGGTATTTGCAGTCAGGTACGAAGAGTTTAGAAGATGCGGTGTTCACAACAGAAAACAAACAGCGTTACGACGAGTTTAAGAAAGCGCTAAACATTATTGGATTCACTGCGGAGGTATGGCGAGCGGGCTTGATTGAGAGTTCTTGATTTTTGGAATTTTTACCAAATCATTGTCAGATAAGAGAGTAGTTTTATTTTCTTATCGTAGGAAATGTCAACACTGTTTTCCATCATTGCTGCAATTATTCATATTGGTGATATCGACTTCATCGAAGATTATTCAGATCGACACATGGCAGCCAATAGTAAAGTCAGCAACTACCAACAACTACAAATAAGTGAGTGACATTACGTTACTATATTTAATTAATCACCAACTGAACTGACTGATAGTTTGACAGACCCACGTTGACCTGGTGCACAGAGTAAGAAAATGAAAAAATGATGCATTTGTGTCACTGTATGTAAAACAACCAGAGTAAATTTAATCATTGTATTTTTTCAGTCGCGTCATTATTGAGAGTGAGCGCAAAAGACTTGTGTGATGCTTTGATAACAAGTAGTAACGTTACTCGAGGTAAGTTCGATATGATCTCAATATGATCGATAAGACAATCGATACGATCGATAAGATATAATGAGGTGCTTTCATATATAGGTGAAACAATCAGTAGAAAGAAAACTGTGCAGCAATCACAAGACTGTCGAGACGCAATGGCCAAGGTAGACTTTGATTACATATTTCTGTAGTTATTATTGGAATCTCCAGTCAGTCTCCCTGTCGTCTATTTCCCCGTATCTCCACCTCCACAATGTTTTTGACGGGCTCTCCTTCATTTCTTCTTAATATGTGTCCAGATCAACTCAGCCTTGCTTCCCTCACCTTTTCTGCAATGTCTTCTTCCAGTCTCTTCACTCCGTAATGTTCCTGATCGACTATCCTTCATTTCTTCTTATTACAAATTTCAGCCTTGCTTCTCTCACCATCTCTGTTTATCTACTACCCCACATCTTCTTCTGATCTCTTCATTCCATGTCTCTGATCAGCTTTCCTTCATTTTGTCTTCTTACATATCTCAGCCTTGCTTCTCTCATCATCTCTGTTTATCTATCACCCCACTTCTTCTCTTGATCAATAATGCCTCTGACCACCACTTAACACCTTATCTCTTCATTCCATCCCGGCCCTCCTTCATCTGTTCTTATTACGTTGTTCACACCATCTCAGCCTTGCTTCCCTCACCTTCTCTGCAATTTCTACCACCCCACATCTTCTTCTGATCTCTTCATTCCTTGTCTTGTCCTTGTCACCAGCTTTGACATCTTTTTCCCCATAGGCTATGTATAATGTTCTCTTCAGTTGGATTGTGGACAGAATTAACCAGCTATTAGCCTCAGACGACGGTTCACAGTAAGTAATTCATATTATCAGATACAACTAATGAACGTGCGTGCGTTTAAGAAATATCACAAACTGCGTTTTTGTTACCTAGAAGCAAGGAGTTTAAAATTGGAATTCTAGATATCTTTGGCTTTGAAAACTTTCACCACAATTCATTCGAGCAACTGTTCATTAATATTGCCAACGAACAGATTCAGCATTACTTCAACCAATATATTTTCACCATGGAAATGGTACGTACTGTAATTAGTACCTTAATTAACACCATTGGTCTACCGTAGTTGACAAATTCTAACCATCGAACTAATTGGATCTCCTTAGAATGAATACCAGAAGGAAGGCATTCCTACCAGTAAAATTATTATAAATGATAACAAACACATGGTGGACCTTTTTCTTCAGGTAAAAACTAAACTTATCAACAAACTTTATTCACACATCGTTATACTGTTCTCCCTAGAGGTCCAGGGCAAATTATAACCAGGAATCGATTATAATTTTGAACTCCCGGTTTTATACCACAGTTGTCGAGTCTTCGTTTTTGTTTTACAGAGACCAATGGGTCTGCTAGCTCTATTGGATGAAGAGTCTGGATTTCCAAAAGCGAGTGATAGGACTTTAATAGGTAACACAGAACTTCGATTGACCTGCCCCTAGCTTGGTCTCAAAAAGTATGCTGTAAAATAAACTGTCAACAACAAAATGATTATTCTCCTTTTTTTTCAGATAAATTCAACAGCAATATTCAATCTGATTGCTACACTAGAAGTAGGGATGTCAATCCTTCATTTGCGATCAAACACTACGCCGGAAAGGTGAGAAAAATATTTTCAAAATATATCTTATTATAATCCAACAATTGCGTTGTTTCCTTTGTGTTTTGCTCATGAACTATTAATGGTTTGCGAGTCCTCGTTGGATGGCTGAAACACTTTTTTATTCCCAGGTATTCTACGATGCAACGGGATTTCTTGAAAAGAACAGAGACACAATGTCACCTGACATCATTCATGTTTTAAGAACTAGCGGTGAGTCATTAATAATAACAGTATTATGTATGTAGTAACGACATGTGTTCAACTGCAACTAATGCTATTGAACCCTACCAGTATTCCCTTTCGGCAGAGCATTAACTAATAATAATTAACTCGTTTGATACGTCACTGTTTAATCACTATATGTTAAAGCACAACTCCAGAAAATTAATTTGGAATTCTATTTTGACTTTCCCAGAAAACATGCTTTTGAGGACATACTTCTCGCAAGGATTGTCATCAAGGCATGGTAAGCCAGTCATCTTGCTTAAATACAAGAATACCAAACAAACAAAAATATACTGCATTTCTAAAATACGTTATCTTTTCCTTAGATATTCAAGGAAGAAAACCATATACATCACCTCGTGGTGGTAACTTCAATAAATGTGAACCTAGAGTAAGAGCGTGACTTCTCTCCTTTGTGATATAAAATTGATCATTTCCAAAATTCCACGACCATATGTGAACTTGTATGTTCTCTTCTTTGTGATAAACTACGAGAGTGGATGCGTTGTGTAATATAATTTACGTTATTTATAGGAGTCCATGATAATTGTTAGCATGCCAGCGGGGAAATCAACAAACTCAGTTTCAAGAAGACAACAGACGCTTTCTATGACTTTTCGGGTAAGAAAGTATAAAGTAAAGTAATGTTGAGGTAATCATCCTTACTTTCTAAGGCTTTCTAAGGGCGCCTCTGGCAGCCGCCTTATGGCCTATGTCTGATCACGGAGCACCGAGCACAGTTACGGTGGAAGGGTCAGTTAGGGGGCTAGTCCCCACCCACCCTGTCACCATTCCGTGTGGAGGAAACCGGAGTACCCAGAGAAAATCCACGACATGTGTCCGCAACAAGAATTGAACCCACAATCTCAGAGGTGACGATTGTGCCACCGAAGTCCCCTTCCCTTTTATAGTATCTGAACTCAACTAATTTTCACATAATTAAATTGTTTAATCTTCTTGGATTCTAGGGCTCTCTTGAGGATCTTCTCTTTAGATTGAACAAAGCTGAACCACATTTTGTAAGGTAAGCCTATTAAGAATCTTCAATTTATGAACTATAGAATGTTATAAAATATTGAAAATTCACAAGACAGATAAATTGGATGACGCTTGGTTCCTGTATAGTGCTAAGCAAACGAAACTCATGCAATTACTCCTTTGAAACGAACAGAAATCCATGCAAATTTTTGTTGCAGATGTATCAAACCAAACGATAAAAAGATGGCAGATCTGTTTGACCAAGAAAGGGTCATGACGCAGTTGAAATACACAGGAGTCCTGGAAACTACTCGATTAAGAAAAGAGGTGGGTCTGGTTCACATACCCAAGCGAAAATATAAGTTCAAATTAACAAGTCTTTTTTTCCCAAATAGGCATGTATATCAGATATAATGTATTGTCTTCATTTCTATATGTGAAGGGTTACTCAGAGCGGATTACGTTTCAAGAATTTGTTCGCAGGTATGCATATAGCTCTAGCTTATAATTTGTTTAAAGTTTAGCGAAAACTATTGTTAATATCTATTCCATTTCAACAGATACCAGCTAGTTCTGTTTCACTTAAACGAGAATGTTCGACCAGATGCTCTAAGTTGCAAGGCAATCCTAAGAGCAGCTGGTTTGGATCATTGGCTTGTTGGGAAAACGAAGATTTTCCTGAAATATTATCACGTCGAAAAACTGGGCGCAATTCTCGAGAAATATCGACATTCTGTTGTACTCGTTCAAAGAGGCAAGTGTTCAATTTTAGTGAACCAAAAACTAAGTCAACTTTCCTTATTCTGGATAGCTCTATCATTTCTGACACTGACTAAACAGTAAGACTGGATAGTGCACCCACTATGCACTAATCACTGATCTGAAATAAGACTGGATGAAGCATCTGCTGTGCATAAGTGAAGCCAATGGCGGCCATATTAGATGGCGCCACTATTAATCTAATCTGATGTTGTGGACATGTTTAACTCTTCCTTTATGTTTCTAGTCATTAGTGGGAAAGGACAAATATTGCCTAGATAAGAATTTATCACCACTAGCCTCTCTTTTTTCCTACATTTTCCGGTGAATAACTAATGGAGGCCATCAAATCGCCATAAGCCTCATTATTTGGTGCATAAAACGTTCTAAAACTACTTCGAAGAGTTTTTGGAAGCTATATTTCACAAGTCACATTAGCGAAGATATTTGCTTTATAGTCCAACTGAACTTAAACAGCAAACGATTAGACTGGTCATGAATTTGACTGATTTAAAAATCTCATCTCATTAGAATATTCTGGCTTCAAAATCGGGTTAGTGAATTCAATAGGATGCTGAATGTAAACTAAGTCAATGGCAGCCATGTTGTTATGATCACGACAAATCTTGTGGTGCTGTTAACATGCTAGATGTCGTTCCAATATTTTCTAGTTATTGTTGGGAAAGACAAAACGTTGAAAATTTCCCCTAATTTTCCCAGCTTTCCTCTTTTTAAATATTATTAACAAATGCTTTTTCAGCTGTTCGTGCATGGTTGCAAAGAAGACGTTTTAAACATGTCCGCGACAAGCGAAATCAAAGTGCTATCGTTCTACAGAAGGGTTAGTACCATTTATGAAACGCAAGAACTCTATTTACAAATGCCAGAACTCCATTTTCAAACAGCAGAACTCCCTTTTCAAATAGCAAAACTCCCTTTTCAAGCGCCAGAACTCCGTTTTCCTTTACAAATGCCAGAACTACCTTTTCAAACGCCAGAACTCCGTTTTCAAATGCCAAAACTCCTTTTTCAAGATTCCATTTAAACTAGCCTTGGCTAATTTGGATGTTCCTGTTTAAATATTGACTAAAATAAAATTTAAAAAGTCAGAACTTGGTTTTCAAATGCCAGAACTCCCTTTTCAAATGCCAGAACTGCATCATTAAATGCCAGAACTCCGTTTTCAAACGCCAGAACTCCCTTTACAAATGCCAGAACTCCCTTTTCAAATGGCAGAACTTGCTTTTCAAATGCCAGAACTCCATTTTCAAATGCCAGAACTCCCTTTTCAAATGCCAGAATTCCTTTTTCAAACGCCAGAACTCCCTTTACAAATGCCCAGAACTCTTTTTTCAAATGGCAGAACTTGCTTTTCAAACGTCAGAATTCCGTTTTCAAAGTGATAGGATTTTTGTAGATGGAAATTTTGACATTCAACAAAATATACATTTTTACACCTGACGAGGAGCAGCTGGGAAAATACAACCAAAGGCACTCCAGCAGGAGTCGAACCTGTGGCCCTATGATCCCGGTGCAGCGCTCTAACCACTAAGCTACAAAGTCGAAAAGCCTAAGGGAAAAATTACAGACCGTCTACTTTCAGTTGGCACTTGAGTTAGCACTAGCAAACGAAGCAAACGAGAAGAATTATAGTGCCTACCTTTCGTCTTCTCTAAATTTTATTTTCCTTTCCAGTGTATCGAGGACGTCTGGTTCGCAAGAAATATGGGTATATGCTAAACAAAAGAGAAAGAAAGGCGATTGTTATTCAAGCAGGTAGAGAGAGATTGAAGACAAGCAAGCACCACTCGGCTTGCTCGTTGCTCTTTGTGCATGAAAAGATTTTGCAGGGGAAGTGAAATCCACAACCTTAAAAGTGGAAGGCACTTATTCTGATGCACACTCTAAACATATTTGTTACTGACTACTTATCCTTCACATATAGTCGTACGTGGCTGGTTGGCAATGAGAAGATACAAGAGACTTAAAGTAAAAAGGGAACAATGTGCAACAAAATTGCAAGCTGGTATGTTGAACTACACCTAAAGGACGTTTACACTTGCAAGTTTTGTTGGATTTCTAGTGCGGTTTCTTCTTCAAATGCACGCGGACAAGTATATATGAGTTATGAATGTTCTGAGTGTTTGTACCCTCATCTAAGCACTCGCAACTCGTCTATTCGTTCACATCCATCAGAATAAAAAGGTCGCACATAAAACAGCAGTAAAGGTTGCAAGAGTAAACAGGTCTTACTGTAAACGTTGTTGCAAATTTTCTGTCGACAGTTATTGCCTTTCGCTATACATACTGTATGTTCATTTTACTTTTTTATTCTTCAGTATTTCGCGGATATCGAGTGAAGAGGTTCTTCCAGAAAGAACTGGAAATGCGAAGAAGGATCAGGAGAGGTAAATGTCCACAATTCACATTGTACCTGGACTCAGCTTTCACAAAAGCGGACGAAATCAGATCTCAGGTGTATAAAATATATAAAGATTTACGCCATTATCAACTTTCCCCTTTCAGAGCAACAAGAAGCAGCAGCGATGAGAATTACTGCAGGTAAACAATTTTATTGAATGCAATTGTTAAGCCTGGTTGACACTATCAAAGTTTGTGTGATCACAGCAAGAATTTTGCATGGGTAAATTCTAAGTTTTGAAGGATTTGTCAGTGTTTAACACTTAGTCAGTTCCTTCAAACATTACATTACAAATCCTTCAAAACTTAGAATTTACCCATGCAAAATTACCACTGTGATTACAGAAATTTTGACCCTGTTTAACCAGCCTTTAACGGTGGTAAACGCTGTGCCACGAACGGCATAAGGTTTGTGTTGGTATAAAAATAGGTACGCTAAGCGTACATGCATCCGCGTGAGGTTGACCGACTCACCGACTAACTGAAAATGAATGGCGTTGGAACTTGTGTGTGTGTGCATTTTAGCTGCTCGAGGTTTCCAAGGAAGAAAGGAATACGGACGTCTTTTGGAGAAATCGTCTCAATTGGAAACAAAAATGATCTACTTTCTTCAACAGGTACTTTTAAGGATTTTTTGGGAAAATGGACATATGAGCCAGATATACTGCAGCTTCTTTACTGATCAACAAGTAAGTTAACTTTCTCAAAAATCTTTTTTAGGTATCACATCTGTGCGACGAGTTCTATGGAGCGCAAAGAGATCTGAATAAACCGGTAATATTTTGTTTGTACTTCTGCATGATCACCAATATTAACATCCTTTCGAGCGAATCAATCTTCTGAGTCTGCAGTGACTATCTTACTCTCTCTATTTTCACACGATTTTTTGGAAAGTTCTCCAGTGGCAATTCGCATAGTCTATAATAATTTACTCCACTATAGAAAGGCAATTTTTTCCTTCGGACATTTTTCATACACACTTAAATTTTTGCTCATGTGCAAAGGGCAAAAAATTAATGACAAGTTTTCACGTGAATATCTTGAATAGAAAACTTTATTCGGGTTGTTGTTAACCGTACAAATCAATTTGTCAAGGACCACTTTCTTGTATAAGGACCACTTTCTTGGTTCACGAGAATCGCTTTTCCTTTTTAAAGGTTCCCAAAGACGATCGATACACTGAAAACACACAAGGCCTGGTTTCTCCACCTCGTTATGAACAATGTAAGAATTGAAATACAAAATGAAAATCTAGTATTGCATCCAAACATTTCAAAAAATTCTATATCCCATCTCTTATCTCGTTCTTAGATAAAGCGATAGAAAAACCTCGTGAAAAATTACCGGAACGATTTGACAAAGAAAGGTAAAAGCTACCAAAGTAAAGAAAAAAATATTTATTAGAAAAAACACCTCAACTTTAACTTTTTGTTTTTGCAGCGTTGTTAATTCGAAGGTGATTAATGGAAGAAGTGAAATGAAGGCATTAAAGGTTAATAATTATGTATTCATTTGTCCTGCAAGATTACAAATGTAATATCCTAATGAGCAATCACAATAATGAAGTTGTTTTGTATATGGCGGAACTTTCGAAAGACTTAGTGTTAAGGCCCATTTTCACTCAAGAAAGGTTTCCACGGACAGAAAATGTTCCGAAAATATCATTGTTTGAAAGTTGAAAATTTGATGAAAGTCCCTAACCATCTCTAACCATCCTTAACTATCCCTAACCATCCTTAACTATCCCTAACCATCCTTAATTATCCCTAACCATCCTTAACTATCCCTAACCATCCTGAACCATCCCTAACCACCAAATGTGCCACCAACATGCACTAACTCTGAAATTCACTTTTCTTTCAGACAAACCCAATTGCACAGAGCAACCAAGCGAAGCACACGAGCAGTAGGACAATTTCACCAAAGAAAACATACCCCAACCCCATCAGCGAATCTGGCTACAAAATAAACCCAATAATCCTCGAAACACAACGAGAGATGGAAACGGAAAACGAGCAGAAACGGCGAGGGGAGTCGTTTATTGTCGATACCAATCCTTTGGGTCTAAATTATCGTGGAGTCGAAAAACGAAACGAACCTTCAATGCGAACTAGGGAGTACAGAAGTGAAGCTGAAAAATTTTTCGAGAACAGAAATGGCCTGGAGAAGAGGCCTAGGAAACAAAATGAGACGAGAAAAACTTCTACGTCAAGTAATGTGCTTGTGGTTCGTCAGCCTCCAAATGCGGGCTACGTGAGGCGAAAACAGGGCAGGGATGAGACGGCACAAAGTGTTAAATTACACGAAGTACAAGACGTCTCAGATTTGCGAGCGAGGTTGCGGAGGACAGGACAGATTGAGGAGGGTTCGGGATTACATAAGATAGAACTTGCTAGGCAACATTCACAGCGGATTATTGATGTACAATAACATACAATGATGTACGTTAGTAGACCACCTTAAGTGAGAGCATTGATGGAAAGTTACATGGGGATTACAGGCTGTGACAAACTGTTCTTGACTTGCAATCAATGCCTTGAGAATTAGAAGACAATGGCACGGCGGTCATGTTGATGCCAAATTCAAAAGAAGTTAATGAGATTCTTTTGTTGAAAAGGGACCAACATGGCCGTCGCCCACATCATTGCAAGTCAAGAGTAGAAAATGTTTCCCAAAAGTGAAAACAGGAAAAATTGTTTCTGCGAAAACATTTTTAGTGTGTTTGGAAACATTTCTGCTTCCTGGGTCGGAGCTAGGAAGCAAAACTACTTTCTTAATGTTTCCTAGTCTAGGGCTTAATGTATAAAGGAGACGCACATATTTTTTCTACTTTATTTATCTAGTCTAATTTCTTATTATACTTGAAGATATTGGAAGTGCACATCCAGTGAGTATATGTAATGTTTAAAGATTATGTATATTTAAAATGTACTAACAGGAGAAAAGGGGGACTATTGATATATACAGCAGATCATTATACAGACGCACTTTTTTACTTATAGATGTATTATATTTTCTTGTAAAAACTAGACAATATATTTGATAAAAATGCCAAAAACAACAGCTTTGGTTCAAATGGGTCTATTTAATTTCGCATTGGCAAAAGTCTTCAATATAATTATGCAAACAAAAAGAACAATGTTACAACTAGTTGACAATTAGGTGCAAATACGACTCTTAAAAGCTAAACAAATACTGAAACGTTACACGGCAAAAAGTGGATCGTATTTAAACATAATAGGTTTTACTTCCATGTATCTGTTTAAATTGATGATAATTGATGCGTTTCAGCGACAAGCTTTTCTCAAATAGAATACAATTTTCTCAGGGAACTACATCTGTTACAGAAAATTGAATTGTACATCCGATGTTTTTGCCGATATAATGAGTAATTCATCTTTTGGAATCGTATAACTTTTTCCAATCAACGAAAACGATTATTGTGCGTGAAAATTGCGATAATTTGTTCAAAACATGACAAAAGAGTATCAGTGTTTCGTACTAGTGAAAGTACAGAAATAGCTCAAAATAATGTTTGGAGAAACAACATTTTCCTTTTCACAAATCATAATATTTGTACAAATTTATTAATTTACCCTAGACTACAACGCAATTGACGTGTTATCTCGCAGTATCTAAACCCATGGGGTATAGTGGTTTACTAAAGATACAAACTTATCTCTTCTCTTTGTTTAAAAGAGCTGTTTGATGTTCCGCGCGCGTATGAAATATTCTTTCAAAAGTTATATGCAGTGGAATTTTGTTAATTATAAGAAAGATTAAATCTTACGCAAACTAAAATACGACAGAACGAAATCCTAGTGGGAATAATGTGCCTTTTGATTTGTTTTTCTCGAAAATACAACGTTATATTTGTTTACGAAAGCTTCCGGTCCCTATATGCACGGATCTTCAACAGTGCTAATATGGTATATACATAAATATAGAATGCGTCTTTGTGCATTACCAGACTTCTATTATAAATTAAGATTCAGGCAAACATACAGTTTCAAATACGAGCTGATATACGGTTGGACAAAATTTTTGAAGGGCATTTTTCATTCTCCTTCAAACCATTATAAGAGTGATGTGAAACTATCAGTAGGAATCGTGTACGAAACAATTTTGTTGTGTCAGCATTTGTATATTAGATAAGCTTGTCAAATAATGCATGGTATAAATTCAAGATTACATGAATTGCCTGACCACATGCACGACGAGTTTTAGTCTTTTACATACTATAAATTTCAAATTTTATTTTAAAAAGTCTTCATCGTGCAAAATTGAAATATTCATTTAAAACTCGTCCTGTTTAATCGTCCTGTTTTGACTGGATTGTGAAAATGACATGGAAACCATTTTTTGAAATTGCCGGACACGGATTTATACTATATAATCCGGTATTTTATAATTTACCGAATGGTATGGATGGTTGATCATGGTTCCTTATTCGGTTAATCCAGTGTTCTCTGACTTTCTACTAGACAATCTGATGAGAAGACTGTCGCGACTCTAAAATGCTCCATTATGATGAAGATTAGATCTTTTTCAAAGAAGCGATCGGCTGACCAAGCCCCTGGCGAGAAATATTGTATCTGCGCATCACTAATAAGGCTTAAAATTAACAGCGTGTAGAAGGTTTGACTCGCTGATTGTCGGTACTTAAAATTACAGAGTTCTTTTACCGCGATACGCGCAAGGTACGAGGGATTAAAATTGCAATCAATTGCCACACGGGTAACGTTGAATGCGGACGCGTACAAACTTAGGAGTGCCAAATGATTGAATTTCACGCGTATCTTTGGCTAACAATAGCGTTCAATTAATTTCACAAATTGTTGTTAATAGCTGAAATATTTTGTCAAGTGCTTTTTGAAGAACTATACAAGGTATGGTGTTGTTTTCATTTGATAATTTCACAACGTATAGATAAGAAGATGGGGACTCTTGACATTCTGTTTGTTTATGAATGAGGTTCATAATTCTCGTTAGCACATGTCAGCCAGGCCATAGGCCAGACTGAAATATATAGAGACTCTCAAATGTGGGGATCGATATCCAGTGTAGACACTGTCTTTTAACAGAAAATTGTCTTCGTCAATGCCGTAAAATGTCTTCGTTTAAGGTTTTCAAATAGGAACACGTAAAGTAGTTGTATTTCAAATTTCGCTGTAAACTAAATGAAGAGAAATTGTGGCGTCAGCAAATCGCAGTGTGTACACACTGTACAGCCCCACACAGACGGGCAATTTTTCCTTCGGAATTAAGAAGTTTTCCCAGACAAGTTTTCCTTGCCAAGTTTTTGGACAAGGAAAATGTTCGCCAAGGAAAATTTGACAAGTGTACAAGAAATTCTTCTACGGTTTTGGTAAACGAAAGGCGGTCTTGACGCGAGATAAATGTTCAACAACATTCCCTGCATACAAGCAACAGAACTTGTCAAGGGAAGACTTTAAACTTGTCAAGAAAAACTTGTTAATCGTACACACGAGGCGGTATAAACTTTGAGGGAAAACGTGCATGCTCGTCTCAAAATATACAATGCCGCGCATTCATTGGATCTGCGCCAATGTCTTTCAGACAGTTTCACTACTTAACAAAAACATGCATCTTATGTCTATATACAGTCTTGCTGAGACACTCATCAGTTAGAATTAGCAAAAATGTAAACTTATTTTGGTGCAATTATAAAAGGATGAGTTCAAATTACAAATTGCTCGGACAGGTGCGGCGAAAAGGCGCATCAAATAGCAAATTTACACACAGCCTTATAATGGCTTGAAATGGATAACACATAAATCAAACTTTTTGATAGAATTTTTTTAGAAATAACCGCACACACAGACGCATCGATAAATATCAACGTGCCATGTTGTGGACATCAATGATTTTTCATTTGCGCAAATTTTGATAAGGACGAGTCCCACGCAAAAAATACATTATTTTTGTCTTTGATTAGACTGATTTTCGACACGCAGCTTAATTAATAAGATTGTTTTTGCTACAACGATTTAATAATGTTTAAAGTGAAAATCGTGAGTATGCAAGGTTGAGATTTAACATGCAGGATTCCTCGCTGACCAAAAACTAACCCTTCCAACTTAGCTGTGTGCGCCATGAACAGAAATAGGTGCTCCATACTATAGTAGGCCTTTGACGCCTCGGTAACGCTCCCCATTTTTTATGAGATAATTATTTAGCTGTTGCATTTTGTTAGGCCTAGCTAGGGCTTTCTACGGTATAGGCTACTATCTTTGCTTTGTCGTGCAACTTTTAAAACCATTTTCATAAGACCTATAGGCAAAAATCAAACTTATTTATACACAGCAAAACAATTTTTAAATGTCAATTTAGCAAAAATGGGGCGGTATCTTTTAGCAGCCTTAGTGGGAGGGCACTTCATCCTACTTTGCTTATAATTGGAAAAGTTCTAACCCTCCCAGACAGGATTAAGGATAGCAAATCTGCATGTGTTAGGTGGAATAAACCTCCCCTTGGCTTGGTTAAATACAATCTATACGAGGTATATCAATTAATAAGTGCAGTGATATTCTCGCTGAAAGAGATCAGTATCGGTTGTTCAGACAAAGGTGGATTAGCGCTAACCCGAAGTTAATATTTAACTCGCTGTTTTGGTTTCAGTATACATCTGCAAATTCATTTATTTCAACATTTTAGAAAATAAAACTTGTATTGCCCAAGACAAGATTTCTGGGAAAAGCATCTCTTGTTTATAAACAAGCTGCTTGGAAGATTGCTTTGAAGATACCGGCTTTTCAACAACCGACCCCAACCCTATAGCGCAGTTGATTTTGGCAGGGCAGAGTGATTTAGCAAATATGTAAGAGCGCAATGCTCATCTTGGGATCTTACATGTGACAATGGTCTATGTATATCCAGCTTTTTTTCTGCTTGCTTTTGTGTCTACTATTTAAATTAAGCGATTCATGACCAAAATAGACTGACTCTGAAAACAATGCACTTAATATCGAGTGCCAATATTCTTAGAAGTTTTCGAACTTTACAAAAATTCTAAGCATCAGTCTTCAGCCCAACGATCGAACTTATTGTGCAAGTTATTTTGGTAAATATACATTTTTGTAAATAAATCTGGATGAACAAAAACACACAAAAAGCCAAATATTTTCTTAGTACAGAAAAGAGATGTACTGTAGTCTGTACTTTTGTTGTATATCAACTTTTTGGTCTAGATCTAATCTTGCAAGCAACCAATATAGCTATACTTGTAATGTATCTCGACTCTACGAGATTATTAATCTCATAGATTGAAAAAGGTGTGGCAGTTGGTCAATGACACTGCAAACCCTAAAGAATAGAGATATTCAATCTAGAACCCGCGCCTTATTAGCATGCATTAACCCCCAAAACATGCATGTCACGTTTCGTCCGCAAAAGCACTATATCACGGTAAAATCCAAGCTCCGAAAATCTCGATTCTTCTAGTGAACCAGGCCAGCAATGCCCACATCAGTGATATGATTACGCCAATACAATGCGCACTTGGTTAATCACAAAAACTGTACGCGCCAAATTAAAACATAACGATTGCGAGAAATCGAATTTATAGTTGCTCGATAATCGAGTATTTATCAGTGTAATTATAGATCTATACACACCGCGCTACTCCAAACAAATTATAATTACATTCACGCAAGTATAAAATATCGTGGATGCTTGAAGCAGGCTCTTTAAATCAAAGCACTGTGCAAACAGAACACATCGCAGAGTGAACGTTTCTGACACACTAATCTGTGACTGTATTGCGTCAGCGAAGTTTGGAGCATTCTAGCAAAAAAAGTAGCTATAGCTTGGTTGAAATTTGAAGGAATTATTTCTCCTCAAGAAAATACGTTTGCGATACTAAACTTGACCTACTTCAGCATAGTAAGTACAGAATTTATTTGCAGTGTAATTTATTTCTTGACATGGCCATGGGGTATACTGGTGACATGCATGCATGCGCAGTGTCGTTATAGTGTACAGTCACATGATATACTATATCTGTATATCAATAAGGAATGCTCCTTAATTATTGGACCTCTATAGGGAGAACAGTTTAGAACTCATAGAGTTAAACAGTAAAAAGAAAGTTAGGATAGTTTAAGACCACTCCTGTAGTATAACAGTAGATCAATAAACTTAAGGGATGCACGACCCTACTGGACCTCTATAGGGAGAACAATTTAGAACTGATATAGTGCTATCCAGTATAAATATGGTGGGGTTAGTTTATCTTGATCATGAAATGAAGAATACCACTATTGCACTAATACCAACTGCAGAAAAGCACGAATCCTTCGGCTTAGGTTAGTTAAAAGAGAAGCCTACTTTCCTCACAATTCAAATCCGGGCAGATCTGATTGGAGCAAATATTGCTTAAATCATGAGGTAAGATAGAAAGTGCAACGACTATAGAGAGTCATGCAGTCTTTGACTATTATCCTGCATTCTTTGCGTTTTCAAAGCGAGACAAAGACAACATGTGCACACTTCATTAACGAGTTCGACTTCAACACGACTTGTATTATGGGAATTAATAAAACTAATTAAGGCAGGTTCAAGGAGTGTCGCCGCATGGCAGCTAATAGAACTGTAAACTTGAAGAGTTGTAGATTAGTTCGTAAAGTACAAAAAATAGGTGTAACCACTATTGCAGGATAAGCTGGTAATTAGTTTAAGCCTTGTCTATACCTTAGGTTTAAGCCAGGTATTGACAAGTTTTCATTGACAAGTTTACTTTCTCATGTGTACGATCAATAAGTGTTCCTTGACAAGTTTCCCTTGACAAGTTGTTGTTGTTCATGTGCAGGGAATGTTGTTAAACATTTATCTCACGTCAAGGCCATCTTTTGTTTGCCAAAACCATAGAGTATTTCTTGTACAGTTTCAAGTAGTTTCCTTGGCGGTCGTTCACATGCACGAACAAATTTTCCTCATCCAAAAACTGGCATGACTATAGCTTTGGAACAAGGATCGTTGGCAACGAAAGGTTGTCAATTTTTTGCCCTACACACAAGCAAATAAAACTTGTAAAGAAAAAATTATTTGTCTGTACGAGGCTTTAAGGAGAGGTAGTGTATGAAATCATTAGCTAAGGTTTATACCATACTGATTTTAATGGTTCAGTATAGTCTATAGAACTACAAATTTGAAGAATTGTACATTAGTCTCAAAGTAGGTGTAACCCACCGGATAAGCTGGTAATTAGCTATATACGCCTTGTCTATATACCTTATAAAGGTTTAGGCAAAGTGGTGTATGGCATCATTAGCTAAGGTTTAATGGTCAAATAGAGCTACAAACGTGACGAATTGTCCATTCGCCTCAGAACATAAAAAGTAGGTGTAACCAACTAGATAAGCTGGTAATTATAGAAACATACGCCTTGTCCATATTTCAGGTAAAGTATAATGGTATAAAGTGTATGGAATTATTTGAACTAAAGTTTGTGCCATAATAATAGTCAAACTGCCGGGTTGCAAAAATGGAGAGTTGTACATTAAACTTTCAGTACATGTATATAGTAGGTGTAACGCGGCCAACCAGATGAGTTTTTAATTATTACCATAATATTTCTGTCTATACCTTATGACATCGTAAACTGACCTACATGTTACAGTGAATATGAGGGGTCAATTTATATAATAGGTAATGTAACAAAAACATGTCGAGACTAATTGCAGTTAGCAGTACACTGTTATGGAACACACAGAACGAGTAAAATAACGTAACCTTTGCTCACCATCTGAGACCTTGTAGCTCAATGCCCGACAATGGTTAGAGCGTCCGTCTGGCCATCACAAGGTTACGTGGTTCGATTCCCGTTAGAGCTCAAACTTTTTTCTGAGACTATAAGCTTCATACGAATCTGCACCAAAATCTTATGTATAGATTTGTTATAATGTATTGTTTATAGGAAATTCGCATTATATTCTTGATTGGAGTATGGTTGAGAATATACCTCAAGATATAAATTAACATGTCATGTACTCTGGTTTTTATATATGATTATATTAGTAATACTAGCCACTGTGAACTTGTGACTGATTAATTTTTTGCTGCATATTAATGACAGATAGCTGTTGTGGACAGGTATGCATGTTTTTTTGCGCAAATCATGAAAGGTGGCTTAAATTTGCTAGCAAAATTATGATGTAAATTTATCACCTACTGCACGCACTAGCCCCAGGCCCAAAATCGTGATATATTTCAATGCATTCTTGGGTCTGTTTTGTTGGCCGATGTGTTGGATCAGGTTTGAATTAATTGAAATATTTTCATCCAACTTCATCCTATAACGGTTGGACGAAATCGAACTAGTTTGATGAACGGACCTTAAAGCAATTCCCTACCTCTGCCTGGGGAGTAATTTGCGGTGTGATACAGTTAATTACACTACAGGCCCCCAGAGAAGTTGGACTAATTATCATATATGGTCAATGTCGGCGTGTGTATAGTGATATCCAATGATAAGATTGTCAAGTCCTGATATATCCACAAGTGGACAATTTGCGGAAAAAGATCGGGTTAGTTAACACGTTACTGCATAAACTGATTCCGAGGGCTGATTGCAGAAAATAAGAGTGTGGCACGATTTCTGTAGGAGTTCTGATCAGTTAGCGAAGCAAATTCTTCCGCCTTTGCTCTCCGAATCTGTTATCAAACAGACTATTGCAAGATGTTTTGTTCGAGAATGATAGATGGGGTCATGAATCGAGTTGAGGTATTTCATTTATCTGAGCAGGTCGATATAGCAATTAAGCCCGCGATACACCTTCAAAGATCGTCCAACTGTCAGCCATTCGATTCATGTGATTTAAACACCGACAGCTGAGACTGGCGATGCTATATATAGTAGCGCGTTTAATTTGAAAAGCACCGAAATAGTAGCATGTAAATGGAATTGTTTATGTTTGCTTACACACAAAATACATAAATAATAAATGGTTTACTTCTGTTAAACATTGCAACAAACTGATTATATGCCCGTATTTCGTCGACGGGGTCTTGGGAAAATTCAGAATTGCGGTCAGATTTTATCGTGTGGGACCCCGTTTGGATTGCGGCATTTGACTCAAAGTTTAAATTTGGTTGCTTTTTAAAGCTATTGTGGAAAGATCGTTTTTTGTTTTGCTTTCGGGTGTATTTAAAATGAAGTACCGAGGCGTGATAGGGAGGTTCCATGTCAAAAACTGAGTATACATTACATTTAGTTGATTGTATTTAAAATCCGATAGCAAGTTAAACCAGTTGTCAAGTACTTTTTAACATGTTGCGTGTAAAGACTTCAAGTTCACTTCACAGCGACGCGCGAAGGGTTTCAGCACTGTTAAATAAATATAGCCACACGCTTTATGTGCATTGTATTTGGCAAATCACTGCAAGTCACACCGCCCAGAGATTCGAATAATTAGACGAATGGTGCAAGGCGCCAGTGATCTGCCAATACTGGCCAGCACAAATAGAAATGAGCGCGCCGGGCCCACGGGCTTTCAAGCCGTAACAGAACTTCAAACAACGGTAGCATTTGTAAAGCTTGATTAATAGATGCTTATCGCTACTAATCTGTTTGCGAAGGCAAACAATCGGCTCTCAGAAGTTGCCGACTCGCATACAATATGCAAACAATTTCAAGTAATAGATATCGTTTAATGCCCGTTGTGTGATCACAGTATGCGAAGATATATGTCTGCAGTAGCGTCCAGAGCCTAGGCAATGCATTCACTTTGTAAAACCCTCTAAAACAGTACCCGCACTTGAGACGAAGGCCCTTATTTCGACCTAATTTTCTTCTTGAGATACAAAGTAAATGTTGTAATAATGATATTTATAATAGGAATTATGAAAGCGGTGTGAAAGACAAATATGTATGCATGCGAAGCCCTCAGTCACGGTTGGTGTATGTGCGGCGAGTATACTGATACATCGTGGCACACTCGACAGTTAAATCGCAGTGTGAAAATTATAAACCCATGCTGATGTCTTTTAAACACACGCTAAACTTCGTTATAACGTTCACCTGCAGGTAGTTTTGCTGTGTTTTTATAAACATTATGGCTTTAACAATTCAATCAAGTGTTGTCGGCTAGATCAAAGGCACTCTTATTAAATCTATCAATTTGAGAGGGCTGTGGTAATTTCCACGGAGCCCGCCTTTCTATTGCTGTCTGTTAGCTCGTCGGCGCGGTTTACAAGGCCGTATGCACTTGACGTTCACACCGCCACAACAAGTGATACTCGGGGGCACAATACTGGCCCATTTACGAGCGAGAATCCAAGCCTAAATTCCATACGCTACAATGATGTCTGCACGCACGAAATCAAGTCGAGGGAAATGATCTACTTCATACAGGTATATACATAATAGAGACTTGAGAAAATATTTGTTTAGGAAGGCCAAGGTGTTAAAGCCTCCTTTGAATACAGCTTAGAACTGATCAGGCAAAAGTTGCTTAAAACCCTAGCCCTGACCTATATAGGCTGTATACTAGAACTTAGACGTATTCCCCTAATCCATTCCCTAAACTGAAAAGCTGAGATTTCAGTCTAAAATATGCCATCAAGTTTGAGCGCGTTACAGGCTTACAGCCACTACTGTCTCTGCTTCATTCACGTTGTTTGCGATGTAATTATAGTCAAGACGCTAATCTTTGAAAAATTACGCGGAAAAATCTGTCTGTCGCGCTCAAACAAAGAGCCGAAATCAGATTGTATTTGGCAGGTTTGTAAGAAATCATTTGTGAACGCGATTAAGCGTTTAACTGGTAGTAATTAAGCTGTGTTTGTTGTTTCTTTCCTCAAAACTTCATACTTTGTTTGATAAATCTTATGGTTTATGAAATAAAGCAGTACTGATATGTCATAGCCATTCATGAGAACCGTGGTTGAAATTTCCGTGTCGAAACTAAGGTTATATTTAATTGTTTGCAGCCAACAAAAACATCCTTCATTTGAAAAAGACAGACTTGTATTATTATATTTGACAATTCTTTTCAATATATGTCCAAAAAGCAAGCAAAATTTAAGCAGTAGGCTATATTTTTTGAAAGGATTTGAAAGAAGTCGAAAATATCTATTCGCTATATATAGCCTATAGGCAGTATATGAAAGAACTAGCTCTATATTCGCTTGATGAAAGAATTAGCTTTCTCTTATACTTGATCATTTTCAAACTCAATACTAACAAGAAAGTACTGAACTTTTTACCATTAATTTAAGGAGAACAAGCAAGGGCTCACAGGGTATTTTATAAGAATATACTGATGCACTTTTGAAGCGTTATTGACTTGATATTGTATAAAATGAAGTATATATAATGAAGGAATATATATAAAGCATTGCAAAACTATCGTTTTAACATCGAGTCCCTCTATATAAACTTACTCCATTCTTTTGCAAACAGAGCCTGCATGAGCAGAACTTTTCATACGAGATAAACATGATGTACTCAGTAGACAGATAACTTTCTTACCAGTTAACAATACCCCCCAATGGTTTAATCTTTGAGACTCCATTAATTCTCTCGGCATGGGAGTTTGCTAGCAACAACTTCATATGAGAGTCCATTAACAATCTACAAAAAATATTGAAGGAAATAAAGATGTGACTAAGAAGCCGCAAAGATAAAAAATAGGGCATTCTAGAATGAGCAATGACTGTCTATATGATAATTTATCATGCAGGCAAGCGATACCCAAATTTTTATCACTTCCCAAGTTCCAAAATGTTCTCCCTATAAAGGTCCAGTAAGAGGCACCTCTTAGTCTAGATGTGGACGTAAAATATATAGGGTGGCTAGGCTTCGTTGCTGCATGAGGTACCCCATTTCGAGGCTGTATTCAAAATATGTGCATGCATGCATACTTTTTATTCTGCCATCAAACATCTAAGAATGTTGGAAGCCAAATGAAGGTGTTGCGACCGTTTATTACAAATATTACCCAGGCAAAGGCTGGCCTGCCTCAACTAGCCGAAAAGGCAAGCTAACCTGGTCTGGAAACTACTGAAAATATGCGTTGTTTGGTATAGGGTCAGAAATGCAAGTATACTCTTCTCACTTGACTCACTTGCATGGTCTTGCGAATGAGGCGAAAAATACATTGTGAGAATTGGACCCCAGAGGTTCACAGGTATACGGTGCCAACAACATCCCCTCGGACTAAAATTCTTGAAAGCATGTTTTGTTTAATATTAGCCATTTGCCGACAAAACAACAGAGTCAAAATAATGTTTGATATAGACTAGACATTTGATTAGAGAATATTTTTACCGCGTGCGTGCGTGATAAGCTTTCATTTGTTTGCGCAAAAACAGCTCACAGCTGGTTCAAATTTCCTTCGATAAAATGTTCATAAAAGATCTGTAGGCATTTTGGATTCAACCAAATAGACAAACAGACCTGTAGCCTATTGACAGATTATGGTATATTGTATACAAACTGTAGATTTTGTGCATGGTTAACTCTATGCCAAAAAACGCATGTTCTCTTTGGGTTCAAAGGATGGCCTAATTACTGAATACTGGGCCTCTAGAACAGTTTAGAAATGATAGTGCTTTCAAAGGAATTACACAATTTCATATAGTGTAAAACTCTTTTCAATGATTTAGAGTTTAGACGAATACACAAGTTTACTTTAAAAGTGTCCCTGTTAAGGTTGATGGTAATTACAAAAAAATAATTAAAAAGGCGTTGTCCGATATAGATCATATAGTGAAAATCAGTGTCAACAGAACTTATATGTCTTCTATAAAGGAAAGACTCAATCCCAAAATTTAATATGATTATATTGTTAAACCAACACAATAAAAAATTCGCACTCTGAAAGACCCTGGCCTACGAGGATGCGTTCATGTTAGCATATCAAACTTTCCCCCTATATGAATGAACATTTGCTCAAACTAGTGTCCTGCGAAATTACAGACGGCCCAGTGTTGAAGCCCATTATATTAAAGATTAGATGTGATGTGCCAAACTGGTTTTGTAATACCTTCATTAAATTCAATAAAGTTTATTATTGTTAATACTATTATATGACGGAGAGAGTGAGACCTAAGCGCGCACGCTTCGAGCACTGAACCCGTTTGACTTATAAATCGAACACGATGTATCGAGTAAACCTGCTGAAAAACCTAGAAAAGACAACGCATTTTATGAATACGATTGACAACAATAATGGCCAAGCACCAATCATATTAAACTTTGATCCTCTTGTCGTTTGTATTCCGATGCCATAGTGTAGATCAAGTAACTATACGGTATTAATCAGATAATGTATATTACTAAGCAGCATTTCCCAAGCGTAAACTTCAGTTATAATGAG